AACCTCTCTCCCCGGGACCAGCACATCCTCTGTTCCCAGGATCAGCATATCCTCTGTCCTCAGGAGCAGCACATTCTGTCCCCAGGACCAGCACATACTCTGTTCCCAAGATCAGCACATCAGCACATCCTCTGTCCCCAGGTCCAGCACATCCTCTGTCCCCAGGTCCAGCATATCCTCTGTTCCCAGGATCAGCACATCCTCTGTCCCCAGGACCAGCACATCCTCTGTCCCCAGGACCAGCACATTCTGTTCCCAGGACCAGCACAACCTCTCTCCCCAGGACCAGCACATCCTCTGTTCCCAGGATCAGCATATCCTCTGTCCTCAGGAGCAGCACATCCTCTGTCCCCAGGACCAGCACATCCTCTGTCCCCAGGACCAGCACATTCTGTTCCTAGGACCAGCACATCTTCTGGCCCCAGGACCAGCGTATCCTCATCTTTCTAAAGGGTCAATGCATTTTCTGTTCTCAGGCCCACATCTTCTGTCCCTAAGATAGACATATCCCCTGCCCCCAGGACATGTACACCTTGTGTCCCGAGGACTAGTACACCCTCTGTCCTTGTCATACCATCTGTTCATAAGAAAAGCACTAGCAGTCTTCCTGAAAACCCTCCCCTCTTCCACAAACAAGAAGAAATCTCTTGCAGATAATTATCAAACCTCTACCCACTGACTTATATGAAAAAACATCCTTTGTAAATCCTCCTTAAAATTCCATCCATGTGCTTGATGGCAGATTCAAAGCCCTCGGATCTGCACAGGTCCAGCCTAGCCAGGATAGCCAGAACTACCGCTGAGTGGGCACTTGCCATGCGCCCTCCCCCCATGTTGAGCTATGCACCCACCTAGCTTACTGTTTCCCAGAATGCCTTGGGTCTCTGGCGGAGGACTATGCAGGGAGATGAGAAATGGATTCCAGGAGAGAGCCCAGAAGGACCCAGGACTGACCCCTGTCCCTCTCTCATCTCACCACCCCTACCAGCACACTGGGAAGGGGTAGCCGGATGGGAGCAGACTCCAAACACACAGTTCTTTATTGGTGGTGGGAAAAGAACTAAAAGCCCCCCCACCCACCCACACACCCATACACTAGTATCTACAGAGTAAGGCTTCACGCACTCTAAGGAAGAGGGCCGCTCAGATTCTGCCCTGACACCCTCCGAATCCATGGCAGCACTCTGGGAACACATCTCCTGAGCCCCATAAATAATTGAGAACCTGTGCATCCCGTGGCATTTTTGCTGAAATCATTGCCCACCCACTCGCTGTGCTTCCTGCAGAGCCAAAGACATTCTGGCTAATTTTTTTCTTTTTTTAAAGTGCAACCTTTCACTGAAACTAGTCATGTCATTTGGCCTGTGCTGGGCACTTATTCAGTGCCATGCCCTGTCTTAGGTGGGAGACTCAGAGGACCCAGACACACCCTGCCCTCAGGGAGCTTGGATCCTGCTGGGGAGACAGATATTCAGCAGACTATTAAGATCATTGCATGTAAATAATTCACAGGAATTAGGAAGCAGGATAAGATGGAAAGGATTAACAGGAGCTAGGTGCATGCAGACTGTCCTCTGTCTATGTTTTGCTGAAGTGGGGGGTGGGGTGGGGTGGTGGTGGGAGGAGTCAAAACTGAGCCTACTGGTGCAGGGGTGGGGGAGTCACCCTGCAGAGAAGTGTGTTCTTAGAAGGGGCTGTTGGGGAGACAGCCTAAGAGCAGAAGGCGCTGCTATGAGTCACACGATTTCTCTGGCCACCCTTAGCTCTTCAACCAATCTACTAAATTCCAAAATTAACAAAATCACTAACGTGATGGGTGTTTGTGTGTGTGAAAATGGGAGGAGTCCCGAGGTATGAGTGGCCGTAGTCAACTCAAGGCATATGTGGGGTCTAGGGCCCCGTGGGAGAAAAGCCAGAGGCAGGTGCGATCTGGAAGCTATGCACTGCCACAAGCCCTGAGGCCAGCGATGTGGCCAAGCTCATCCCCAAGAGACACCTGGCAGTGTAGCATCACGTGACAGGACGGACACACAGGAAAGTGAGTGACTTGCTCTAGGGTGAGGTGAGGGGTCTGAGAGATGGGTGACACTAGAGGTGAGGCTAGGAGCATAAGTGGGAGTTTGCCTGGTAGGGAAGAAGAGGGAAGCATTTTAGGATCCAGAAATGGGGACATCTGTTGTCTTGCCTTCCAGGCCTCTGTTCCTTACTTCATTTGGTAGCCACCCCCTGATTTTTCTTTGGGGACTCTCTACTCTTGGTCCCTGCAGTTTAAGCAGAGCTACCTCTATCCACCTTGAGGCAGGGGTGGGTTTATATTACAGAACTGGCCAATCAGTTCACTCCTGGTTTAATAAGGGACACGTGACTCCAATCAGCCAATGAGAGTCACCCCTGGGACTTTTGCTGGAATGTCTAGGACAGAGGGTTTGTTTTCCCTGGAGCTGCGACTGATCACCAGGAGGAGAGTTCCTGCTGAGGATGGAGCCCAAACAGAGGAATCGCATTCGTTAGAGGCATGATTTAAGCACCTCTGCCTGCCTGAATGTCCACCCATCACTGGATACTCAGTTACACAAGCTAAGGATTTTCCCTTTTTGTTTGTAAGTATTTGAAGCAGCACACAGTGGTGACCACCCGGTTGTGACGGTGGGTGTAAAGGTCCATAGGTGTGTCCCACAGATGGCTGCTGTGTCCAGATGCTTATGCTTAGCAGGCTGTGGCAGCAATGCAGTCAACAATGCAGTTGTGTGCGCAAGTCATGGCTGGGTCATAGTGGATCATGACATGAAGCCAAGCATGAACTGTGGGAGCCAGGAAGGACTTAAAACAGAAGAGCAGTATAATCAGATATATGTTTGTGAACTCATTCTGTTTATTCAAATGTGTTTAAAACCTAGAAAGAATTCCCCAAGTAGAATGCCAGCCAGACATTTTCCTTCTCCAGTTTTGCAGCATGCCGGTGCTATCCAAGGTACTGCAATCCCAAAGAGAAGAGTCTTCCAGGAAAGGGAGTTGGCTGAGTCCTGTGGGAGGAGATTGGCGTGCTGGCTTCTGCCTTTGAAATGCCAGAGAGTTCTAGTCCCTGGCGTCTGCAAGAATAGAATTCTTGTGTGCTAGCTATCTCTCTGCTCCCAAACAGGGGAAGTAAAACTGTATTTCTGCTCCTTGAAATCAACCTCAGGACACACATAGGCTTTTGTCCTTGCCGCTACTGACCTGACAGAACAGGAGACTAATAAAGCTCACAGACAAGGGGATCAAGTAAAAACTTCTTTGACACTGGAGGTGTGCAAACAGACAGAGTAATTAGCCTATTTTTATAGTTGCAAGAGATGGTATCATTGGCCCCAATTCTTTGCCTCTTCCTGTAATCAAGTCATTTCTCCTGTGAATTTAGGATCTCTCTCATTAAAAGAACAGGGCATGTGCTTATCCTTTCCTTGACTTTGACTTGCTTTACCCAATAAGAGGTGGATGGAAGTTACAATGAACCTATTCCAGGCCCATACCTTAAGAAACCAAGACATTCCTATTCAGCTTTCAGCTCTTCTACCACCTCCCACCCCAGGAGAATGTGTACCCATGAGCTCACTGGTAGGGATAATTCTCTGTTCTAGACCTCAGGAGCAGACACTCTGGAGAGATACATAATTTGCAGATCCCACTGAAAAATGAAAATTCAGGGTCCTGTACTTTTAAAGTAATAGTAAATTTCAAGATGGTTATTACAGAGCATTCAACCAAATGTGGGCCCCTTCTCTGTGCCAGGTGCAACTTAGCAGGTCACACCCAGGAAGCCAGTCCTGGCTGAGGACGTGGAAGTGTTGGTTCTAGATCAGGTCCTCTGATCAATTCCGGTTCAGGACCTGTTCTTGTTTGGCCCTAGAATCGGGACTGATTTTACATTTTTAAGTGGCTGAAAAAAATCAAACGAAGGTGACTACTTGTTCCATGTGAAAATTAAATGAAATTCAGTTGCAGTATTCATAAATAAAGTTTTATTAAAACACAGGTCCGATTATTCACGTATGTCTTGTCCGTCTCTTTTTCACTCTACAACAGAGTGCAGAGTCGTTGAGACAGATACTGTGTGGTCCACAGAGCTTAATAGATTTACTTCCTGGTTGTTACAGAAAAAGTTTGCTGACCATGCTCCAGACTAGAAAGAAGAGTCACCTAAACAATTCCCACCCAGGCCAGCCAAGCACCCGCTAAACCCCAGATCTCAGAATGACTGTTCCGTGTGTGTCCTGAGAACTTTCATGAGTAACGCAACAGCAGTGGATCCATTGGAGTTCAATCTAAGTTGAGGATTCTCAAAGACTGGTATGTGGGATGATTGCAGATGCACATGGAGGAGACTGGAATGACATCGAATTACATAATAAGAAGGCAATACTGTTTTCCATTCTCTGTTAAGTCCTTATTTCATCAAGAAGAAACCTCAGTCCGGCGCTGGTAAGTCCTTAGCATTTTCATCACTCTTGGTCATTCTTCATAACAGAGAGAGCAAGATGTGAGCTCAGAACCTCTATCAAGTCATGACATCTCTTTAGGTAGGAGTGCTTGCTTTCACTGTATTTCTTCTTAGGATTTACTTATTTCTGGCAAGCAATGCTAGTTTTCTATTTCTGTCACTGTGTTAGTTTCATTTTTCATGCGATTGTTTATGTAAAATATGTGTGTTTTCTTTTTTAAAAAATTATAAGGTGATGCTATTTAAATTTAATTATTGGGTAAATTATTATGCAGATATAAGGAAATGTGAGGGAGAATCACAAATGTGATAGACAAATAGCTGAGCTTTGGGAAGCATTGCTAGAGAGAATTTCAGAGTTCTGTGCTTTCTCTGGCTGCAGAGGCTGATGCTAAATATGTTATATCTGGAATGACCTTCCCTGGTTCAAATTCTATCTCTGAACTCACTGGCTGTGCAACCTCAAACAATTTACTTCACTTCTCTGGGTATCAATCCCCTTGCTACACAGTGGATTAGCGTGTGGCTCTAGGCTATGATGAACGCTGTTAGCCACCTGCCAGCATGCCTCCTCACTGAATCCCAACCAACAAGACTCCATCTTTGTTTCAGTATTTACTATACCCCCAAGTAGTTGTAGCCTCAGCAAAGCTGATCCCAGTTTGATTGCCACTGCCCCTTATTTAGCTATAAGTAGATGATGATACAAGGTGGCCCCTGTGGCATGGAAGGCTTTGAGAAGATTCTATATCTCCTAAAAGGGAGTCACTGTAGTTCATGTTCTCTTGCCTCTGTCTGAATATAACTGGGTCTGGATGTGATTCCTAGAATCAGTAGCTAGCCAGTTGCCTTTGCCTGAAGATGAAGCCAACACCAAGCAAAAGAACAAATAAGGGGACAGACCCCAAATTTAGTGATGTTGCTGAACTGCTGAATCAATCAACTCTGAAGTTAACCCTATAATTGGACGTGAAAGATGTGGGCTTATAAATACCCTATTGCTTAAGCCAAATGGAGATGGGATTTCCATCACTGGCAAGTAGAGGAATGCTAACTGATATAATATTAGTATTTTATGTTCCAGTTCATACTGCTATGTTAGTGTATCTGCAAAATGGTCTACTTGATCTATGATTATACAGACAGTCCCTTGCCAGTCAGTGTTCCTTTCCCCCTCTTCTTCCTTATGAACAGAACCGAGATTTATTCAGGGTAACAATGTGCCCAAATAAAAAGCTACATTTACCACCCTCTCCCTGCAGCTAGATGTGACTACTTTTCATACATTCTGGCCAATGATGTATAAAAAGAAGTGAATTGTGGGTATTCTGGGAAGACTACCTAAAGGTAACTGACTCCTTCCAGCCCTTTCTCTTCCTTTTCTTCTAGTGGAGCTGTGATGGTGGGAGCTCCAGGAATCTTCTTGGACCATGGGGGACCTTGAGGATGGAAGTTTTATGCAGCAGAGTATAAAGAGGAAGGAATCTGGGTCCTTGGTGGAGTATCCCTATCAGCCCTGTACAGCTGGCTTCCTGACTGTGTTTATGCAATAAAGCAAACCCTTGCATGTCTACACCCCTGTTACTTAGTACTTTCCATTATGTACAGTAACACCTAGCTAAGTGATACTGTATTTAATTGGAAATGCCTTGTTTTTTAAATCAAGAATCTGATGTTTGCAAATACCTGAAAGTGTGACTGGAATACTTTCAGATACACAAAAGACCGGAGATTTAATATTATCTTTATTGACACACAGATTGTCCAAAGAAATAGTTGTTGAAAGAGTGAAAACCAATTATTAACATGGTACACTTATGCAGAATCTAGCTCATGTCAGCACCCAGTAATAATGACTCCTAAATGATTATTATCAGCAAATCCAACTCTTTAGTTCTACACCTGGGTCAATGGAGGTCCAGAGAGGGAGAGGACCTTGTCCATAGTCACACAGCCACTAGCAGTGCAGGCAAGAACTACATTTCTTCATGTTGCCTCTATGATCTTTCTCTTTTCTGAGACTTTCAGCAAAACTCTGGCAATGAGAATGAGCTCAGGAAGTCATGAATGATGATACTCCCTCCAGGAGTCCCCTCTGACAGTGAATCTTTGTCTAAGTTTGTTGGAGCTGCCTTAACAAAATGCAACAGACTGTGTGTTCTTAGCAACAGAAATTTATTTTCACAGTTCTGGAGGCCAGAAGTCCTAGATCATAGTGCCTGCATGGTCAGATGGGAGTCTGCTCCCAGGGAATAGAATTTCATCTTGTCTTCGCGTGGCAAAAGAGAGAGCAGGACCTCTCTGATCTCTCTTACAAGGGCCTCCCAACCTCCTAATATAAGCAGCTCAAGGATTAGGATTTCAACATATGAAATGGGGAAGGTGGGGCACAAGCATCTTAAAACAGCACTTCTCTCCGGGGCAGCCAGCTCTGCTGAATGGTCTCTCAGGTCTCTGCCAAGTTCAAGGTCCATAACTTGTTTAGGATCAGAATGAAAGAGAAGGATGGCAAGTCTTGTTCTCTTCCATCTGTGGATTCCATTATCTGCTTCTATGATGCCCGTGAGTGTTACAATGTATGATAGAAATGAAGACAAAAGTGGGAAAGTAAATGGTTTAAGTTCCCAAGTTTTATACTAGCTGGGATACAAGTAGGGGGTTGTGGCCCACTTTCTTCTTTCTTTAGGGTCTTTGTCTGCCCTCCCTTCAATTATTCTACCTCCTTAGGGACGGTGGGAACCAAATGACATCAGGGTGGCTGACAGAGTATGGGAGGTCTAGCCATGTCTGATGTCACTCAAAGGCCAGAAGGGAAGGCTAAAGACTCCAGAAACTTTTTTTTTTTAATTTATTTATGGCCCTCCCTGGTGGCACAGCAGGTTAAAGCACAGTACTAAGAAACTTAAGCCACTTCCACATGAGTTCAATTCCCGCCTGCCCCGGAGGTGACCACATGGCGTGGCAGACTTCTCCTGACCCACCTGCTGTTCCCCTCAGCAGTGTGCTTCATCAATCTGCCTGTTCTGCTCTCCACTCTGTCTCTGGTGAAGTCTTTCGCCTCCCCTGAGTCTCTGGCCTGTACCCCAGTTCTATATGCATAAATAAATAAATCTTTTTTTTAAGATTTATTTATTTATGCATATAGAACTGGGGTACAGGCTAGAGGAGCAGGAGTGGTGAGAGGATTCCCCAGAGACAGAGTGGGGAGCAGAACAGGCCAACTGAGGAAGTACACTGCTGAGGGGAGCAGTGGGAGGGTCAGGAGAGGTCTGCCATGCCATGTGGGTCACCTCTGGAGTAGGGATCGAACTCATGCTGAGGTGGCTTTAGCTTCTTAGTGCTTGAACCCACTGTGCCGCCATGGAGGACCCTGGAAACTGTTATGATGCTGCCTTCCTACAGGAGACAATCAGTTATTAGCAGAACATTATCAACAATTTTTAGTGCCATTATTAAGACAGTCAGCTTGCCCCAAGCTGATGAATTTAGAAGAAGCCATGAAATAATTTAAAAAGAAAACAAAAACATTGAAGCTGAAAGAGTAAAGAATGTTTAAAAGCTTGTCTTCTTTGAACCTCTCTCTAGAGCGAATTAACCCCTTCACTGATTACAGGCTCCAAAAAAAGGAAAGATGATTATTAGCAGATTCTAAGAGCCATGTTACACATCAAAATAACTCTGATCATATTTAATTCTTAGAAGAACCTGTGAGGCAGTAATTATTGTCATGCCCTCAACTCAGCTACAACTATGGAACAAGACCCAAACCAAGCCCCGTGGGACTTTGCTGCTCACATTGTGGTGTCCACACTGTGTGTTACCACCTTCCCATCCTCCACCACTGGGCAGCCCTGGGACTCAGCCAGGACAGATGGCCCACTTACCCTGCCCAAGGACAAGCTCTCCTGCCTGCCTGCCAGCTCTCAAACCTTCCAGCCTGGCCAACAAGGTCAGAAAGCTCTTTGGGGGCCCGTGGGGGGTGATGCCGCACACAGCTGCTGGGCCACCCATCATCCTGGTTCTTGACGTATTAGAGGAACAGGCTGACTTGCAGTGTGATCCTGCTGGCCTGGAGGGCAGAACTGGATACCCCAGAAAAAGACTTCACAGAGCAAGTTGAGTTCCATGGATGATCGGGTCTTAGCATAGCTGTCCAACTAGATGGAGGTATGTTTCCTATCACTAGAGGATGCCACCTTTCAGGAGTGCTATCTGAGGAGTCACCCCTGGCTGATCTTGGCACTCAATGCCATCAATATGGTCACACTTGTTTCAACATAACTCACCACACTCGGCATGGTGTTAGCGCGCGCCGAGCACCTTCTGCAGGCCCTACTCCAGATGCCTGTCCAATCCCAGCAACTCCATAGCCCCATTTTACAGATGTTCCGAGACGGCAAGCAGCTTGGCCAAGGTCACACACCTTGACCTACATCTTGCTGCGTCAGTCCCCCACCCTGTGCACTGTCACTCTGCACCTTGCCTGAAGTCAGTTCCATTTGTGCAAACTGATAATTCCATAAGGGTGGGGAGCCTCATCTTCATAATTTTGAAATTAATTCAAACTACCAAGTAGATCACTACTATTTGCCCAAAGCTTGTTACAGACTCTTGCATCAATTGCAGATTTTGTTTAACTTACTCCATCCAAATGCCATTCCCCTTTGATGCATGAAAGAACTGACTGTGAACTCACTTGCCCAAGGTCAGTGTTGGTCAGGGCCCAATGGTCTGACTATGAGCGTGGCCTCTGTCTCATTTCTTTGCAACATTTACTGTAGAAGTAGTGAGGAAAACAGGCACTGAGGGTAAAAGGACAATGAGAAAGAGGGGGGGTGGCCTGGGGCAACTGTGGGAGACAGTGGCGCTGATGGCACTGATGGGAGGCCAGAGAGGCCCTTCCAGGCTAGGGACATGGCTGCAGAATGAGGTCAGCGCCGTGTGCCCAGGTGGTTTCTCTGCTAGCTGTGTAGTCTTAATCAAGTCACTTCCCTCCCTAAGCTTGGAGTAGGCCACGGTTTCAAGCCAAGAAACTAAGGCAAAGGAGGCAGACAGAGTAAACATTGCAACTCTTAAGTCTAGAGCCCTCAGCAGTTTCCCAGCAGGGAAGGCCCCTTTAGCCTCTCTGCCCCAGAGAAAAGATCTCACCCCTTACAAAACCTAAGTCCCAACTATTTCAAGAAGGAGCTGGCCCTTCTGCACTCCCATCTCAGTCTTTCGCACTCTCAGACCCCATTTGCACACGTGGCCTCCTTCCAGCCAGAACCTGCCAGGGGCCCACTTCGAACCAGCTTCCAGGGAGCCGAAATCTGGGTCCCCTTCATCAACACATTTCTGTTAGGCACCAGCAAGGTACTCATCTTACATCCTGGAGCTAGGCACTTGCAAGGTTAAACACTTGCTACGCTGGGGTGAGGCCAGTTATTCCCCTGCCCCAAGTGACCAGAGAAAGGAAGTGATTCAGCCAAGGTCCCACATGACCATCAAGAGGGGAGCCATTGGCCTTACTGCTGCTGCCCCTCAGCCCCGGCCCACTGTGTCCGACATAAACCCACAACCCAAGCCTGCAGCCTGTGCCATGTGTATACGTGTCTGAAGGTCTTGGATTTCCCACCGTCCTGGCACCTGTCACAGTTTAGCAGGTTACCATGGTTTCGCTCCCCAGCACCCCGGGTAGCAGGGACCACCATCTGTTTACACTGCTGTCAGAGGAATTGATGTCATGCAAAATTGTCAGCTCAGCAGGATGGGAGGAGGAAGAGTGGGCGGCTCTGAAAGCTTCCAAGCCATCAAAGCTCATCTTGATCAAAGTTCTAAGCAAGCCGCTGCTTCCCTGGGGGGAACAGCATAGAGGGGTGGAGATTGAGAGAGGGGAAGAAAATTTTTCTGAGAGGAAGAAGTCAGTGGCAGCAGTAATGGTGAGCATTGTTCTTTCCATCTTTATAATCATTTATAAATCACAAGCGCATTTTCACCTCTCCCAGCCCTGGCTCCAAAATATATTAGTTTCATTTCACAGATGTTCAAAAACATAAAACTTAGGCACACAGAAGTGAAGAGCAAGTAAAGTCAGAGTAAAACCGGAGGCAGGTCCAGTAGGAAACAGCCCCTGAGCCTCAAACTAAGAGGCTGGGAGTCACTTGGGACCAAGAGGAGAGGCAGGCCCGCTCCTGGCAGCCATGCCCAAGGGCACACAGAGCAGCCTGCCCTTGACCACACTGTAGAAAGTGGCAAGGGAAGGGCACAAAGGAGGGGGTCCAGGTTTGAATTACTCCAACCAGTGCCGCAACAGAGGACACTGTGACGCCTGCCCAGGACACAACTAAAAGCCATTTAATTATCCCCAAAAATGCAACGAGAGAGTGGAAATCTGTTACTGCTCGCTATCCACCCTCTTCTTTAGTAACCGCCCAGTGATTCTCCTTTGAGGACCCAGGCCCTCTTATCTCCCTCCACCTGGGTCTGGAACAGGCTGACCCACTCCCAGAGGACCCGGATCCAATCCAAACACCATGGGCCATGATGACTGGCCCAGGCATTGGCACATGACCCAAAACAAGCCAACGAGACAGG